TTTCCCAGCTAAGTCCACCAACAAACAATTTTCTGCAATCATAAATAAAAATATTGTTAGTTTATATAAATTAATCAATACCTAATAATGGGAAAAACAAATGTTGTCAATAATTATTTAATTATAATTGTTTGTTATTACATGAATTTTGTATTAAGAGAATATTATTAAGAACCATGGGTATACAAGATAAAAATGATTCTTCTTAAAATATATATTTATATACTATGCAAAATATGGGATCTATCTAAAACTCGGTATCCAACAAAATTTTTGAATTTAGTTTGTAGAATATGATATTTTCTTCTGATCCWTYAATGACTTAAACATTTTATAAATCATGTATTCCACTCTCAAAAATATAACTTATAATTTTTTTTTTGTTAAATGAATCTTGTATTATTAATATAATTTTTGGATTTTATCAAATTTCCTAAATGAGCTATACTAGTAGTTGGTTCATTATAGCAAATTCGTCCATTCTCATCACTTTATTAGATGCCGTCACAAATGGAAGAATTTACAGTGGTGAATAGGTAATAGAGTGGGAGAATTTCAGGGAAAAAAGTGTGGAGTTCATTTATTTAGATGCTAGAGTAGATATTTTAAATTTTAAAAAATAAATATTTTTGCAAACAAAAGACTGAGTTTGTCTTTTTCCAGTTTTTACTCCATGCATATTATGATAAAAGTAAAAAACAATTGTCTTCTAAAACTAAAATATAGAAATTGTTTTTACATGACCATACATCCAAAAGACATGGTATATTTACATATTTTAAAACATGCATTAAATTGACATTAAATAATAATAAAATGACATAAATCCACATGTAGGGAAAAATAAACTTAATAAACCATTTACTTTAAAAATATATTGGAAGTGTCAAAAGCATTGTTAATTATCCTTGCATCAATTTTCATAAATAAGCAGCCAATGAGTTAAATCAATATTTTATTAATTTATGTACTTTTTAATTATAAAAATAATGGTACCTATAATTATTACAGATTGTAAATACTCTTTTATTTAATTAATATAATTCTGTTTGATTTTATAAATTTCAAAGTAAATATATTTTTCAATGAAAAAAAAATTCTAGGTATGCTTTAAACATTTTTTATTATTGAAATCAATGTTTGATTAGCTCTCATGTAGGTAACAACTTTGGATCAATTATTAAGCGATGTTCATACATTGCGCCAAATTTGAGAAACTATTGTATAGTATACATGTATCGAACAGTTATAAAAAAGTATACATCAATTGAAGACCTGTGGGAAACAACAAGACTTCTCCAATGAATACAATTTTTCAGGAATCACTTTAAACTGTTTTGTTATAACACTAAAATAAAAACCAGATATCTCCATTTATAATATGATACTACTTCTGTATTTAACAGTCAAATGTTCTATACTAGTTGTAGGTATTATTCTTCAAATGACCCTATAAGGGTTATAAGTGACAAAACTAATTTGTCAAGTAATATAATACCCACTTCAAGAATGTTACATTATGTTAGTGACAATAAAGTATTAAATAAACAGAACAAAATATTAAGAAAAAAGACATAAATGTTAAAGAATGTATCGCTCATCCGGAAGAAAAATGACACAAATCTAAATGTGATATTTTTCAGGAGAGTGGAGGATTTATCATTTATTAACGAGTGTTAATTTCTTAACAATGGAAAAGTGACACTCAGGTGGTGAATTTTTGAACTATAGAAGTATCGTTTTTCCGGATAAAATATACACCATAATTTATCATAATGTATGAAAAACCCAAAATTGACCATTTTTGACTTTTGTTGCTTTTCTTCCGGATGAGCATTATAATAATCAGTGGCGCACACTGGGGGGGGGTTAGGGGTGTCGACAGACACTCCTAAGAGAACTGGTGGGTGACTGGTTCTGGGTGAATTCGGATGTTATTTTGATAAATATTTGTTTAATTTAATATTAATTGTATAAAGAGTATAAACTCAGATTTTACTTATGGGGTGGGTGGGTACTGTGAGATATATATTTTTGAAACCCTTGTGAAAAATCTACTGTGCGCCACTGATAATAATGTATTTTTTTTTTATTGTATGGCGCTATGTCCGGGAGTGTACACGAAGACCCAAGTTCGGACGCTTATTTGGCAGAATTTCTAGTGGGCACTCGCAGGTTTCTGCCATGCCCAGGTGGGGGCAGTGGCAGGGACGGATAGGCACACCGGGATACCGGGACTTTTCCGGTGCGCCCCTGTATTACCGCCTACCGGCGCCCCCTTCCAATATGCAGTGGTATAAATTTTTCCAAGATGGAATCCATAGGGCTTTTTACATTTAGGACCTTCAATTAATTTTTACTTAGCGTCTAAGCAAATTTGTATTCTGTATGAAATACCTATAACATGTATAATCAATATAAATTTTTAAGCTTTCAAAAACTTAGTTATTGAATTATTTTATATTATTCATCTTTCATCTATATCTAATATCTGTGTAATTGTTTTTAGGTTTCATTGGAAAAAAAGTTTTGGTATCCCTGATTGTATACCATATATAGTAGAATAATTAATGCCGCCCCATAAATATTTTCCCGGAAAATTGTTTTTTGCCTATCCGCCTCTGGGCAGTGGCCTCTTTCCAAACAGCGTGAACTGCCCAGAAAGCAATGCCGCCTGTGATCGAGATTTGAACCAGCGACAGTCTGCGTCGCAACTGACACCTTAATCCGCTCGGTCACTACACCCCCTTAGAATGTATTCATTAGTTAGGTATAACAGAAAAATATAAAATTTTATCTAATTTTTGGTCTAATATGTTCCTTTAGATAAATACATGATAGAATACTTATAACAGTTATAACAGGAATATTTTTATGTATTCTGAATACATACTAACTAACAATAGTAGTAACATACTACTAACTTTTGAAGTTGTGGCTATTACACAACAATGAAACATTTTAAATTAGGTTATATTAGTATATAAAAGGAACTATAGTAGGTACAATTTATTTATAACTTTAATTCTAGATAGATCATTACCCTCAACAAAGGACTAGGATTGTTAATAAATGAAAATAAAAATAAAAATTTACAATCATATTTGAAATTTAACTTAATTTTAAAGATGAGAAAGTTCTGGTAAATAAGTATCAGCTCATGTAATTCCTACTTTTTTTGTTATTATATTGGTGATACTTCATAATCTTACCTAGGTATATCAATACTTGAAAATGTTATACAATTAATACAAAATTATTATAGTTTTTATCCAATAAAGACAGAACGAGGTTCTTATTTATACCCATAAAATATTTACATTTAAAAATTTAGGTCTGGAGAAATCTCTTAAAATTATATATTCATTAAAATATTGATCTCAAACAGTGTAAATAATTGCAAGATAATAGACCACAGCAAAATAATATTGAAATAATGTTTTATTTTAAAATAATGGTAGGTACCTACCAAAATAAAATATAATATACTTAATTATTCAATAAATGCCAATTATGATAAAATCGTAGATAAATATTAAATTATGAGATTTAATACAATAAGCATAAATTAAAATGTATTAATAACATACCAAGGTATATAATATTTTAAATAAACAGATAAAAATCTTAACAACACAACTATTTACAAAAAAACACGTCACATGAGTATTGATACCTATAATAAAATAGAGGAGTTTTAAAGCAAGAGTTACACTAGAAATTTATCAACTGTTTAATGATTGACTAAAATTAAATAAACCAATCATGATCCGATGAATCATGTATAAGGGACCAATAGTTCACTATTGACTAATTTAATGTTAAGTGATCGTTTATGCAACTGGAATAATTATTATAATAAGAAACCGAAAATTAAGAACTCTGATGCACAAATCTAAAGGTGAGTTAATGTTACTGTCATGTGCTTAAGTCTTAGAATTGACAATTGTGGGAATTGTAAATCATCAAAAGTACACCTGTTTTAACAAAAATACAAAATTGAGAAAACGCGTTTTTAAATTAAAGAGGCGGCCGCTGTGTCGAAATTGAGCCGGCACTTTATAAACTTCGTAAACAAAATGGTTAAATGTTCATAACGACAAAACAGATAAATCAGTTCATGGGCCGTAAATTAAAAATGGAAATATTCATTAAATTATTACGGGAATTGTAGACAAGTGGAAACAATGCTAGCCCGTTAAACTTACCCTTGTTCGTCCTCCTCTAAATCAGATTTGCCTCTCATCTTGTAGTGTTCTATATTATATTGTGTATATAAAAATATAAAATCAAATGAGTATATAAAAAAAATATATAAAAAGTAAACAGAACGGTTGTCAAAGACGTGCAATAATGTATGAAGATGTACAAAAATTTTAACGAAACACTAAGGTCTAATAATTGTCCGGTTGTCGGACATTTAGCATATCGAATCGACACAAAAACACGACACGTCCGACGCAAAATGGCGTCCGCATTTTTTCTCTCTCCTAAAATTTCGGCATTTCACGATACGCGGCGTTGTCACGCTCACGTCAACCGATTGATCGTTTATCTAACGTCTTTGGACAGACGACTCTGCGCCGAATGTCTGCCAGAACCAAGACCGACAATTAACACGGAAATGCCGAGAAATCTATGACCTACAACCCTATTTCTTCGACAAAAATTGGATAAATCAAATATTATTTTCTGCATTCAACCATAATAATAATATGTCAAACTTGATATAATTTTGAAATTCGAATGCCACATACAAGAATAACTTACCAGGAAATTTAATGCATACCTACGTCAACCCGCCGATAATAAACGTGATAAAACCCTAGCGTCACCGACGGAACGGCAACGTTGCAATCGCGTGCAGCACGCTCTGTCGACGGCTTCTTGTAGATGCGCACCGACTAGACGTTAAGGAGGTAAAAAAAAACAACAATAACACGCTACACACACAATATTATATTATAATATTATAATACAACATAATATATATATATATATATATATATGTTATACGCGTGTGTGTGTGTAACATATCGTGTCTGCCATTTTTTCGTGAGCCTTTTCCGGCTCTACTGCACGTTACAGTGCAAGTAAAACGATCACGGCATTCACCGTTTTTTTATCGTACGGACGACCAGGGATAACTCAAACTCACTCGGCCGTCGTTACATCGTCGAGGGACGCTACCGCCAATACTTGGAACCCGTGTTTGTACTGTTGTCCCACACGCAACACAACTGGACGCGTTCGATTCGCTTATTGCTGGCGATGTCTTCGACCAAAGTCGAATTAATCGACGACGACGATTCTGGGTAAATGTCTTTTTCGTTATATCATATTTTGTTTAAATATTTGTGTGCGTGTGTGTGTGACGGTTTGTACGTTTAAAACGATGACCGCGGCCAAGTCGACAAAGGTTTGGCCGGTCAGTTGTTGATGCAACGCCTGTAAAATGGTTTTCAATTTTTCATATGCATTTCCCCAGCTATCTGCGGTCCGCTTGCGCGGGAAAACGATATACTGGCCGCGGCGTCGAAAACGCACTTGACGATAGATCCCTGTTATAAACAACGTCGAAGGTCTATCCCGAGTATGACCTCCGTTCGGTTGGTTAAACTTCTGTTTTCAGAATCCGTTAAAAATAATATGTGAAAATGCTATTGTTCAACGTGGGTGCTTCGTGGTACTATACACGTATATTACTGTTAATTTGAATGATTTCGAAGTTCTGCATCGCAATTTAGTACCTTATGTACCTATAATTCTTTTTATGTAGGTATTTTAATATACAATGATTTGCAAATTGGGCTCGACATTTTCGGCTATTTCAAATTTACTCTTACCCAATATTTTTTAGTTAAATTTGTATTATTTATTCGTGATTGGAATCATCAAATGATTTTGTTCAAATTGAACATTCCTTCATTGCGTTTATAATTGACTTTTGGCTAAACTATGTTTTCATTTATGTGAACCATAAAAATCTAATAGTAGTTGTATAATTGGTAATAACCAATTAATACATATATTTTGTAAGTTTGATTTATATTTTGTCAAAACTAAATATACCTACATATGTCAGTAGTAACTACTAAAAATGTTGTTTTATCTGATATCTTATTTCTACCTATCTAATAGATATATTATGTTTATATGGGAAATATGATTTATATTATGTATGATAAGTGCTTTAGTTGAGAACAAATGTTAATGGTTCAACAAGGAATATCATTATTTTAATTGATTTCTGTTTTCTGTAAGTATATATTTGAGAAATTGCTACACTTCCAAAAACTATGATAAAATTTCAGTTGTTGTTTAATACTAAAAACTGATTACCTACCTACTTATATGTTTACAACAATTCAATTTGATACATTTTGAAAATTTTGATTTGATATGTTATTCTAATATTGAGTTGGTACCTTGCTTATTATAAAATTATATTATTATTTACATACCAAATATATATTTAATAGGTACTGATTTATGGTAGTTATTGATAGACTTATATTCAATGTTGTATAGAAAATATTTTAAAATTAGAATTTATTTTACTATACATGTCATTACTTAAGAGGTGTTTTCATAAATTTATTTTCTTTTTCATTTTAATAATATAGTTTTTCCAATATAATATTTAAGAAACCAAGCTAAGGCATTTTTAACTTACGAAAACCCTCTTTGAATTATCAACATTAAAATCCCATTCTCCTCATTTGGTTATAATAACCATTTTAGAATTATGTATACTGAAGAACCAAAATATAAGCGTATGCGCATGGAAGACGATGAGTCCCGCAAAATGAGTTTAACCAAAAAGTCATTCAACCCAAACTGGTTGAAGTTTACCATGTTCAAAGATTGGCTGATGCCCCATAAACTGCCAGATAAAGCTGTATGCAAGGTTTGTCATTGTGTATTAGTTGCTGGAAAAAGTGAACTTGAAAAACATTTAGCTACACGTAAACATGAAAGAAACATGGAAAAAATCAATGGTTCTCCTGCTGAACAAGATGATATTGAGACATATACAATCATTTCAGGTAGAGTATCCTACTTGATAATTGATAGGAAACTGTGTTTTCTGAACTGTCCTTCAACGTGCGTAATAATATCACTTAGAATATCACATTTTTCATAAATTTATGTACCTAGTCGATAGGGCAAAACCCTTCAACTTAACCAACATAAAAACAAAAAATGTCTATTTAAATGTTGATCTTTCTTAGTTAGATTTAACTCTACCTATTATAAATATATTAAACAAGTCAATTATACATAATATAAAAGTAAATAAATTGAAAACTGAATGATTCAATATTATATTGTGTAATGAGATTTATTATTTATACATCTTTTGTTTAATATAATACAATTTCTATTTTCTATTATGTTAATAAAAATTGTGATTTTGATTAAGTTTTGTATTTTAAAGATGATATTTGTTCATTTCCTGACTTTTTGAGTTACCTTGTTTAAAAATAAACATTGTTTACCTAATTATCCTCAATTTAAATTGTTTCTGAAAATAATTTAATTTAGGTATTTTTTTTTTTTGTTTAAATATTCTCATTTGAGAAATAATACAGACATTGGTATTGAATAGTCTTACTGAACCAGTTCAGTTAAATCTAAATAAAATAAGTCCTCTGTTGAACAGTAGAACGAGTAGTTCTCTGTAATTTATGAGTCAAATATTAAATTTATTATTATTTAAATTCAAAGATAAATTAATTGTATCAGAAAAACAATTCTGAGCGGAGGTGGTTACTGGTTGGTCTATGTTACTAAGTATATATTAAAGTAATATATTTTACTAAATAATGTAATATAGTATAACTAGGATATTGCTTACTACTAATCTAAAAAATTTCAACATGTTATTGCATACATAGTGAAACCTCTAAATACTAGATACTCAGTCTCTAAATTTTGTCTGTTATTTAAAGGATTCAAACTGTAGAAAGTTTGTAGTTGGTTCCTAAGACTATGTCCTTTAGAGAGGCTACACTTTATTCATAAAAATGTAGTTCCATGAATAATTTGAATTGTAAAAAAAAAAATAAGTTATTGTATTCTATGTTTAAATATCCAATGTTTCATAATTAGTAATTAATTTGTCAAAAATAAAAGTTATACTGTTAATATTTTAGAGGAGCTTTAAATTTGGTACATTTTATCAATTATGGTAATTTTTTTAAATTTAAACCTTAAACTTTTTAGTATAATATTGTGACTATATATTTTTGATGATATATATGTAGTTGGTGTAGGAACCGTATGAATTTCTTTAGAAACCTTGTATTACATTTTCAAGCTTTTTTACACCAAAAGAAAATTTTGTATCATACACAAATCTAAATAGAAAGATAGAAAGTGTTGGATTTTTTTGTTATCTAGTATTCAGTGAAAATGTCAAGTCTCAACAGTTTTTGTTATTGGCTTTGATAAAAAACAATTCAATGTTGTCAAAAACAGGTTTTATGTACAAAAATATTTTTACCTTTACAGTACTAATTAGATTTGATTTTCTACAAAAAGCTGTTTTTATAGTTGAAAATCAAAGTATTTTGACTGCTATAATAAGAAACTTAAAACCAATACATTCATTGTTCTGCTCAGAATCTAATAACTTGACTTCATTTATTTTAAGATTCATTTTTTTTTATATATATATAACAATTGTTGTAATATACATCTTGGTAAATATAAGACTTGCTGACATTTAAAAAATATTTTTACTGTAGTAAGTTATAGATTTAAGTTTTTTTTTTTTTAGGGTTTAATATGTTAATTTGATTCAGTTACTATTTTTTGATCAGTTTATTTATAATGGGAAATATAAAGTAATAGGCTACTTAATTAGTTTATATGTTATTATTTTTTGCAGCAGATGAAATTCAGTAATCCGCAGCACTTAGGGAATTTGAAGCAAAAAGACAACAAAATACACTTTAAAAATAAAATAATATTGTTTGATTCTACACTATTTCAATGTCTAACAACCAACAACACGAAGAATATACAATTTTAACATCAAGCTCAAACAACCGAGGTCAAATGTCTCAACCTCATCTTACATTTACACCGCCCACTCAAGTGTTTCGAACAGAATGGCAACGTTTTCCAGAATTTCATGCTTGGTTACGGCCAATTGATGGGGATGTAACAAAAGCCTGGTGTATTGCATGTGAACGAATGTTTCGTGCTGATTTAAAGTCTTTACGAGTTCATGGTGTAAGTAAAGCTCATGTGCGTATGGTGCGGGCTCGTTGTCCTAATGCAGATGATAATCCTGTACCACCTATTGAGTATAATGTGGTGACTGACAAAAAAGGAACTTACGGCATAGCTGTAGTAACTAATAAGGAAGACAAATCTTCACTCGGGTCAAGAGCATTGTATATGAATCAAACAAATCCTACCGAAGAAATAATTACATCTGAAATGGCTGCACAATCACAACGAGACAAATATGTTGTGGTATCATTACCCAATGAAGATGATGATGACAATGAAGGTCCACAAGCTTCTAGCTCAAATACACAATACATACAAAAAGAAGTGAATGTAATCGACGAGACTGGTAATTTGGTGTCTGTGGTTACTGAACATCATGTACAAAAAAATAAAGGTAAAATTTAGGTGTCCAGGTCAGAGCTGCAATAATAGTTTTTATTAGAAAAAAAAGCGTTTTATTTTAGTATTTATAATGTTGAACATTTACAATTTAAGGTGAATAAACGAAAACTTTATTAGGTAAATTTTGAATATGTTATTTAATTAAAAATTCAAATTAAATTAAACTTCTCAAAGAGGGTTTTCAAGTTCAATGGTCCAAGTGTTAACATAATGTTTTAGTGCATGTGTGTTGTACATTATAGCAGTACTTGTCTTGTAAAATTAAATTAATTAAATTCCTCAGAAAGCAGGACACCCAGGTTGAATTTGAGATCAAATCATCAGATAATGCTGATGTACAGAAACAATCTGCTGATGAAGATGACATAGCAATTGAAGAAGTTTTGACCCCACTACGAATAAAACAAGAATCAGCCGCTAATCGAGCTCATATGATGAAACGAAAACGAGGCTTACAAAAGTATCGTACAGACTGGGAAAAATTGTCTGAATTTAGAGGCTGGTTGTCACCAGAACCAAAGAGCTGCTATAAAGCTCGATGTGAAGCTTGTGACAAAAGTCTAGTTGCTGACATCACAGTTTTACGAAATCATTCACAGGCTAAAAAACATGTGATGAAAACTGGGGGCACAGTTTACGAAGGTCCAATTGTTAGAAACAAATCAAAAGCTAAGACAGATGATGATGATGAAGATTCACCTGATGATTTACAAATGAAATCTTTGAGCATTAAAGGTTTGGATATTGGGTATTATTTGTATGTTTGCTTGAGTTTATAGCTTTTAATTTTTTAATTTAAAATCAAATTGATAATGATTTAATAATCTAATAATTATGGTTATATATTAATAATTTTATGAAATAAATTCCTCAAGCTATAAACTCTATTATCATACATTTTCTATTAATTAAAATAACAATTGAAGATCATCAATCATTGTATTTTGACAATTTAGATTTTGTTTTGTTATTAAGAAATTATAATTTTTTATATCAGTGTTAGTTTTGGGTCTTCAGTTGTGAACAAATGTGTTTTGACCTATTTATTTATAATTGGTCAGAGCTTACGCATTTAATGTTGTATTTTATACCAAATATATTTTGTATATTAGGCAAATAATAAATCCAAAAATTAGTTTGAGACCGTATGTTTGAAGGACAGTTTTAATCAACAAGCCCTGAAAAAGTTGGTCAGAGCTTTTATTACCGTGTATATTTATATTTATATTATAAAACAATTATTTATTATGTTAATACTTGTGACCTTGATAAGCTATTTGTTATAACTTATAAAAATCTATAAAATAAAATTATTCATGTTTAATTCATATATTTTTAAGTGGCATAAATATATTTGAAGTAATTTTAAGAAGAATTTCTTTTTTAAATTTATATATATAAATAGTATATGCATTAATCGTATATAATCGAACAATTGCAGCTCTGACCGATTTTAATAAATGGTTGTTTTATTTAAACATCTGTTTGTCAAGTAATAACATTATTAAATTATAATTTTTTATTCAATAGACAATGATGATGACTATGAAGTGGGCCTTCAATCAAATGACTATCATAGCACATCTAATTATGAAAAATTGGATCAAAAACATGATGAAATCCAATGCAAAGCTATTGGTACGGTTAAGATAAAAACTAAAATAATGTTAAACAACTGAAAACAAGTAAAATTTTATTTCAGTTTCCAAACCTGCGCCATTTTGGAAAGCCACAGCTGTTGTTAATGGTCATGTGACAGAGTTAAAATTAAGTGACTACAGTGGACGTTATTTAGTCTTATTTTTTTATCCTCAAGATTTGTAAGTTGTATTTAATATTGCAATTTAACAATTTAACTAGTTTTAAGCTAAATTAGTTGGTGAAGCAATATGTTTTTRAGTTATTCGTTGGACATACATCTAGATTATTTACCATATTAAAAGAAAATAATTTATTTGAACAAATTAGTTATAAATTTGAGTTGTGTTTATTTTATAAATTACCCATTAAATAAAAAGATGGATAAAACTTGTTTACTTATATAGTAATCTTGTAAAAAATCTGTAAAATTGAATTCTTATGCGCCTATTCTAAATTGTTAACTTGGGTTACAAAATAAGAAATACAAATATAAGTTATAATAAATTTGGATTTAAAAAATATAGTTATTATTCTTAAGGAGATGGCAGCTCTCCATTTGTTTTCTCTGACTCACACTTAATATAGCAAATTTATATTAAGTAGAACCCACTCCTTAGGTTTTTATGTTTAAATAAGTTCACCTATTATAAAATTAGGCTTAGAACAATGCTTGTGTACCTATGGGGGCTTTTTTATGATATTTTAATTTTATAAAATGTATTAGCATTTTAATAATTTACACGCTAATAACTTACATACAAATTATAATATCATAAATTTATAAAATAACCAACATAAGGACACAAGTAATGTTTTTGACTTAAAGTTTGATAATAGATAACTTCACTTTAATATTAAATTATGTTAACACAAGGTTGGTTCTGTTGTACGTAAATTTTCTATGTTGCGTATGAGTCAGAGAAAAAAACAGTGTGCCAAATCCTCTTAAGACAATATAAACAAAATAAAATGCTTTGAGATATAGCTTGTAATCTTATTTGTTTCCTTTTTCATAATAAGTGTATTTTTTCTACAATTTTCAGTTAAATTCTGTCTTATTTGTATATTGTTTAAAATAGGGATTATCAGTTTAAGGTCACCTCCTCTTATTAATTAAAACTATTGAAATTCTATTTTAATATTTTTTTTTTATATGAACATCAAGTAATTATAATAACTAAGTATATAGAACATTTTCTTATGTTACATGCTTAATGAGAAAATTCCTTCTTCCTTAGTAAAAAAAATTACCTATTCTCACAAGAGGACACTACATTTTGTAAGTCTGATTATTGATTCTTCTTTTGACACCTCTAAACATATATTTTCAAATTATAAGACATTAATGATGATAATACTATTTATTATTATTATATTATTTAGGATGTATGAAATTAGTCTACATTTTATTAATATTATTATAGATAAAGGTTTAGAATGACAATCGCCAATTCTAATACTATGTCATCAAAATCAGTGGATAAAGTAAAGATGCATTATCCCCCTTTTTATTTAAGGCGAGTTAGTGCTTTATTAATTTTAAACTTCAAAGTCCGGGCCGGGAAGACCCTTAACAAGAAATGTATGAAATTATATTCAATAGAAATAATTTTTTCATTGATCGAGCATGATACGTGTAGATAAGATCAATTTTTTTAAAAGGAAATTCGGTTTCACAACCGATTGGCAGAAATAAATAGGTACAAAAATAATATGATGGGGGTTTAGACCTTATAGACTTCTTAAAACATGTCAGATATAGAATTTGGTGAGTACTCTGGAATGCTCCTAAGTTTTTGATGACTATAGTCTTCCTTGAAAACTTTTCTCACATAACCACTGATTCCAATTGTTTCGCCAAATATTTTTAATTAAATAATTTTGAATCTTGTGCCAAAACTCTTGTACCATACATCAAATTTATTGAGCTCACGGCTTCGCATTTGGGCAATACTAAATTGTTTATACTTAAACTGATCTATATTTATGTGTATAGGTTCACTTCAGTTGTAACCAAAAAGTTCCTAATTTATAAATAATTAATTTCAAAACTGTTGTATTATTTAATTTGTTTTTAATATGCCCACACTAATACCGTACATCAAATTTATTGAGCTCACGGCTTCGCATTTGGGCAATACTAAATTGTTTATACTTAAACTGATCTATATTTTTGTGTGTAGATTCACTTAAGTTAAAAGCAAATAGTTCCTAATTTATAAATAATTAATTTCAAAACTGTCGTATTATTTAATTTGTTTTTAATGTGCCCACACTAATACCGTACATCAAATTTATTGAGCTCACGGCTTCGCATTTGGGCAATACTAAATTGTTTATACTTAAACTGATCTATATTTTTGTGTATAGATTCACTTAAGTTAAAACCAAATACAATTTATATACTCATGATCTCATGTTATGAAACTCATTAATATTCTATTGAATCTTTATGTAGTTTTTACATCTTTTGGTATGAGAAATTTATATTTTCACTAATAATATTACTTTTTTCATTGTTTTTAGTTCCCGTATTTGTCCAAGTGAGCTGATTGCTTTAAGTGATAGAGTATCTGAATTCAGAGCACTAAATACTGAAGTAGTGGCGTGTTCTGTGGATTCATATCTTTCCCACCAAGCATGGTCTCGTACATTGCGCTCAGATGGAGGCATTGCCATACCTAAAATGCCGCTTTTATCTGATCCAACACATGTCATTAGTAAAAGTTATGGATGTTATTTATCAGAACTTGGCCATTCTCTAAGGTGATTTGATATCACATATGGTTTCTCATTGCTATTATTTTGATATCAAACTATATTAAAGTTATATTCTAATGTTTATTTTCAGAGCTCATTATATAATAGACATGAGAGGTATTTTAAGACATGTGACAATTAATGATCTACCTGTAGGACGAAATATCAGTGAAATATTACGACTTTTAGAAGCTTTTCAATACACTGATGAAACAGAAACATTATGTCCTGCTGATTGGAAACCGGGCGAACCAACTATATCATAATTGTATTATTAATATTATTATTATTATTATTACTACTGCTAAGCTATTTTAAATTTATATTATTATAGTTCATTTATACTACTGAATTAAAATAAAATTAGTGAACCTTCAAAACTTTATAATAAATAATATTCATGATATAACCCGCTGTATTTTCACCTACATTTTATGTGTACCATGTACATTCATAATAGACTTAAGAATATTATGAAATTTGTGTATTTATTTTTAATAATACTGTCCCAAATAAAACCGGTAAGTTAAATTTTGTAGCTGTTGTAAAGAATTTATATGAATCAACATATCTAATAAATGAAAATTGAAATACATAAATAAAAAAGATCGTTTTTAAATAATGTCAACCATTTATTTTTCACTTAATTCATGCCTGACATCTACAAATATACGAATTGTTTTATGTAGTCTTCAATTTTGTACAAAAAAAGAAAAATACTTAGCTGTACATGACAATAATATTCACGCGCGATAAWATTTACAACGTGTCCATTCAGTTCCAATAAACACTATTATTTTATTTTATAAATATATCGTAATCTAGGCAAAACAAAATTTGTTTCTTTTGTAAAAAAAAAAAATTATATATATATCATATATATTAAAATAATAATAATAATTATTATTATTGAAATAACATATTTTATATTACATTATTAATTAATATAGTCTACTTACAATTCATTTTGAGGCAATTTAACATAATTTTTTTCAGGTTGAGATAAATTAAAAAATAAATAAAAATAAACGCACTTACAACATTATCATTATTAATATTATTATTTTCTATAGACACATTTTACTATATACAGTACAATACAAAGTATAAAATATTTTTTTGAAATATTAAAAAAAAAAAATAAATAAAAATCAATGTTACATTTTTAAGTATCAGTTTTGACTAATTTATAATAACCCCCACAAAAATTTATTTGGGACATTATTTACATAAAAAAAGAAGTGTTCACTATACACAATGTTTAATGCGGAAAATGTAAACTATTTAAAGGCTATAATATAAATATTAACAAAACCTCAATAATAAAGGAATAAACATTATTGATTAGCTTGAAAAATTCTAAAAACAATCACACGGTCAGTCTCTTTGTTTGATTTGTCTAAGGATTTAAATTTTTATAAATATAATTTTTAAATTTCTTAGTTTTTTTTTTGTTTTTGTCCAACTGATTCAAAACAAAAGATTCCGGAAATTTGTTTATGTAAAATAGTTGACTATTTTAATCAATTCAATTATAAATAAATAAACATAAACAAAATTAATTTGCAGTAAGTGAAAAAAACCATTATACAACTTCAAATGAAAGAATAAATCTGGAAGAATAAAAATTGCGTTTGTATATTGTATTGTTATTGGGTGAGAGGAGACGGCGTATTTCTGGAACATTGGAATAGGACTCGCGATATGAGAGCCGCAACTTGCTGATCGAGTATTTGGCTCATGACTAACGAAAGTAACCTTTGCTCTTGTTGCAAGAACAATGGTCTGTTGTCTGGATGTCTAGATAACAGCAATAATATGCGTGCTGCTCTCCTCAACATGTCTAAGCTAGTTCCCATTGAATCAGGATTATCGCGGAGTGCATTCAGCCCATGAGTATTAACCACACTCAGAGCATTCTGTTCAGTCTGCTCGATAAATGCTACCAGTAATGAAACACATGGACTTTGAAGCGCTATCGTACGGGCCATACCACTGTCTGCAGCCGCTAAGTAGTGTAACAAATTGACTGAAAATTCCCTGAGTACCTGGTAAATAAAAATTATCCCAATTAATTTTTAATAAATTGGAATGGTTGTGAGCCACAAAGCCAAATAGCACAATTTAATAGTTGCAAATATCATTCTTTCTCAAGATATGATAATGGTTTGTAAAAAATTAATTTGAGTAAAATTAAAAATTAAAAAATTGATATATTTTAATTATATATAACAATTATTTAACCAAGGGATTCAAAAAACTAAAATATAAATAAAAATAAATATATCATTTGAAAACTAATAGTCAAATATATTTAGTATAACCAGTTAACTATTACCAAGTGTGCTGTATATATTTATATTTTTACAAATATGACTTACTTGTTCTTCAGTTCTGCATAGTAACCGAGTAAGGACATTGGCCAATTTTTCAAGTCGTGAGTAAGGTGGGGTAGCAATGACCAGATCTACATTATTATCAGTAACACATAACTTGCACAGACATTCTAATGCTAGACGCTGAGGTGAGAGCGGTGCTGAAGGAAAAGGATCTTGGCCAGCAGCTGCTGGACATATAGCCCAATGTAATAAACCATCTAAAATGGGACGTGAAATATCTTCATTGAACGTGCTCAAATCAACGTAACCAGCAATGTTAGCCAAAGAAACTAGCAAGTTTTCCCTGACAACTTCTAAATAATCCCACCACCACTTGGCGTCATTGCCTGGCTCAATTGTATCGGCATCTGTTGTTGTAGTGCAATTGAATAAGGACTCCGTGTCATCATCAGCTTTATCATAATTTCTAGTTTTAGATGAGCGTAGAGGATGTTCATGGTGAGTTAATAACAGTTTGCCAACCAGACCAAGAAATGGGCCACTTTTTGCAAACTCTAATTCATTACCGGGAACAAATGAAAGATTTCGTAAGATATTCGATATGCACACACACCGTTTACCAATGGAATCTTGGCTTTCGCTAATTAATGATAAGCTTGACTCATCTTTAGAATAACTTTCATCTTCGTAGTCAGTTATACTTTTACGCTTCAATACACCCATCGGATCACGCACATTAATATTTTTTATATTTACAATATTGTCAATACTGTTTTGTACTAACAACTCCTTATCATTTAATTCTTTATTTATACATGACTTATCATCTAATATTTCTGCTTTAGGTTTATCACTCTTCAATAGTTTGACAAATGGCACAAGACCAAACTCTGAACGAAAACAAGGCACAAGGAAACTTGTATCTGTTTCAGCAATGTTGTATCCCATGTCATAATTATCAATTATGTCCCATGATCTTTTGCCATTTTTAATAAATAATTCTTTAGATCCATCAATAATAGCAGAACTCTTAATTGGTCGTTGATTGGGGAAGGTAGGATCAGGGAAATATGCTTTTTCATTTGGATTTACATTATCTACTACAGCACCAACATCTGGTATTTCTTCTATCACTTTAGACTTTTCATACCAGCAATAAGATTTGATATCAGTTTCTAGCATATCAACTAATGACTGCCGAAAATGTTCTAAAAGTACATCTAATAATCCAGGCATGTGTGTTAGTCCAAAGAAGGGTATAGACACATCATCAAACAGCAATATATTGAGCACATCCAAGGCCCAAGTAGACTCAGCTAAAAGACCTGAACGTAAAGACATCATCAACCGCCATGCATCCACAGGTGCAACATCATGTCGCATCATTCGACGTCGTTTGTAAAGGATTGGTGTTACAGCTTCTATACTATCAGGGGGAAAAATAACTTCTCTCTTCATTAAGTTACTGCCTTGAAAAATTGGTTGCCCTGGCATTCCAGGCTATTAAAAAAAATATTTAAATATAATTTAATTATACAATAATATAGCTCAGATGATATACTATAGATGGGACCCATGACCATATCACTAACAGTAAACAATTTGAAGCACATAGTATAAGGAKTGACTAATTGTATTAGAAGCTTTAAGAGAGCATTTGAAAGGCGAATTCTCGCATGTTTAGCAATTTAGTTGCCATGATATATGCTGTAATGCATACACAGTTTATTGGTCTAATACAGATGAAGACTTGCTAATTATGCTTCAAATTATTGGGATATTTTCCCAACCATAGTAATGAAGTATATTAAGTTCCAAGTAATATAACTTCTAAGGAGATATAATTACTTAGCAATTGTTATCTTTATCTCTAAATGAGATTAGAAATACATGTTAATTAGGAGATAAATTTATGTGAAATTTAAACATTATAAGGAATACAAATAAAAGAATAAGGTCCACAGGAAGATACAAACATTTATTTTCATTGTTAAAGATTAGTGTTTTAAAATAAAATAAGTTAAGATAATTACTGATCTGCATAAAGATAGGAGACAAAGATAACAGCTCTAAATTTAATATAATTTTGAAAAAAGTTATTCACCTTTAAATGGGGTGGTGGAGCCATTGGACCATGTGGTCCATATGGTTTACTTCCATCAGGGCGATATCCATGTCTTGGCATTCTCATTTGTGCTTGCGTCATGGGACCCCAATGATTCTAAAAATAGTGTGATGAAATGTTTAAGATACAACTTATATAACAATCAAAAATCCACTCACTTGTTGTGCACCGTAAGGTTGACCTTGTGGTGGATATCTATGTTGCTCCCACTGGGGTGGTTGTCCTGGATGTGATGGAGGCATAGAACGTGGTGGACCCTGTGACCAATTCTGTGGTGGTTGAGATCCAGGAGGATACCCAGGTCGTGGATATTGATTAGAGGTAGCATTTGGTGTACCTGTCCATCCTAAAATTTGTTAAGACAATTCAATTTCAATTTTGAAAATTAAAAAAATATATTTTAATATTTACCTGGATACATAGGTCGCTGTTGAGGACCATAACCAGGATAACCAGCTGGCTGAGGAGGACCAGCTTGTTGATCTTTGGCAAAATCAGGATGACGACGTGGCTGTGGTGGTGGCATACCTTTTCCTGGGTAATTACCCGGAGCACTAGTAGGTGGATATCCTGGACTCTAAAATTATGATTGAAATATAAAATGATGTCAAATAAATTTGAATTAAATAAATGATTAAGTAACTTACAGCAGGGGGTTCTTGTCGATAATAATCTGGTTGAGGTTGTTGACCAGGTGGATAGCCAGGGGTAGAAACTGATCCCCCCTGTGTTTGGTTTACTGTAGCAGGTGAAGAATTCTGTGGTGGTGGAGGTCCAGGAAACCTGGGTGGTTGTTGATAGCTTGAAGGTGGTGGAACTGGTCCACGCCCATATGGGTCTTGACCATTACCAGGTCCCTGAGGAGTATTTGG